CCCATATATCTGCAGATTGAAATCAAATTCTTTGCCGTATAAAAAGATAAATTACCCAGGCGCTGCCGCGCGTCCCACTCATCACGCCAGCGCCAGACGGCAAGCAATTTTTTTTTTTTAATGTGCTAACGACCTAATCAAGCAATCAAGTCGGAGAAGATTGCAGAGTGACCGGGGCAGCCATCTGCCGGCGAGCCCCGCATTCATTTCCCGCGCCCCCGCGTGGGGCGGTGGCCGGGGAGGGAGCTGCCGGGGGGAAGAGGGGAAAAAATCCTAAACAAATTAACACCCAATTTTCCCCGTCTAATTAGTTAAATGAGAAGTGTTTGGGGTCCCCCGGGGAGGGGGAGCAGCTCGCCGCGCGGTTCGCGCTGCCTCCCCAGCATTAATTAGTGCGGGTCAATGCCGCGGCTCCCGAGAGAGCAGCCGTTTTAATTTCCCGTGATATTTCAGTGCCTGAGGCCCATCGATTCAAACAGAAATTAACTTATTTTTCAATCAGCCCAGGGCTGCCCCTGGGGGTGACTCTTCTTTTGCCGCCTCTTGAATAGAGCTGGAGCAATTTTTCATCAAAAGCTGAAACCTCTGCTGACGCCCGGGGCGGGGGAGGGGGCTCAGAGGGAAAGGGCGGGGACTTGGCCGGGGCGACGGAATGGAAATCCGCCGAGGAAACTAATAGATTTCTCTCCCCGACCAACCCCCTCATCCCCCCCCGACTATCCGGAGCTCTTGGGCGTCTCGCCGCCCGCGGGGGTCAGAGCGTAGAGAGGCTGTACGGGGACAACAGGAGGCCGGCGGGCCTGGGGTCCTGCCAGCGCCCACCAGTCTCCCGCTGGCCTCTCATCTGCTTGGAGGACAGTGCAGCTGCCCCTGGCTCTGACTCCTGTCAGCTGCTGAAAGTCCAAGGAAAGCTGCTTGGCGGGGACCAAGAAATTCCCCCTCCTTCAAGCATGGCAGAGACCCTGGGATTGCCTCCAAAAACCCAGCTGGAGTGCTGCAGATACGCCCAGGGCACCCCATACTCATTCAGACCCAGCACTGGTGAGCTTTGGGGCATCCTCTAGAGTGTCCCCCACACCACTCTCCTAGGTCCCCACCTCCACCTGCTCCTCACACCAGGAGAATTTCTCTTCCCTCCCTCACTGAGGGATGGCTGCCCAGCTACCCCAAATATCATTCAGAGTCAGGTGCAAAAATTGTGATGTGCAGGTGAATGGAGGGCACTGTGGCCTGGCCTGGCTTAGCCAAGACAGAGCAGAGAAGAAGGCTGACTCAGGCCTCCTGGGAGGGTCCCCTGCTTGCTTTCGGGTAGTTTCCAGGCTCCCTGATATCTGGATGAAATTCTATTTGCTGCCTGAGTCCACACTCACTGCTCCTACTTGGCACTGCTCTGGCCTCTGGTGTTCTGGTGGAGAGGGAACCCTGAACCAAAGGCACTGCTAGTCCAGTGGAGAGGACTTTGTCCTTCTGCAAGTCAGAAAATGCATTCTGTTCATATGCTGAAGGTGTACATATGAACACTACAAAGGTCAGAATTCTCAGCTGCAAACTGAGGACTACATGGGAACTACCCACCTGCAAGACCTTGTCGAAGAGGAGTCCCTATCCCATCACCCTAAACTGCTTTGATCCAAAAAAAACCCCATTTTGCCCATTGTATTCTCAGGACTTGTGTCTCATTCTGGACACCCTGAGCCTGGAGGAACCCAAGGGCAACCACAGGGTGGGTAAGCTTAAATAAGGACGCCCTGCTGGAGAAAATGAAAGTCACAAGGGAATGAGGCTGTTGGCCATCAAAGGTGTGGGGACCTTAACTCCAGGAAGACATGGGGGTAAGGGCCTGGCCTCGGTGCCTCCTAGAGCATGCCCCTGACCTGTTCGCCTACACTTGTAGGTCTGGTTCCAGAACCGCAGAGCCAAGTGGAGGAAGCGGGAGAAGTGCTGGGGCCGGAGCAGCGTGATGGCGGAGTACGGGCTCTACGGGGCCATGGTGCGCCACTCCATCCCCCTGCCAGAGTCCATCCTCAAGTCTGCCAAGGATGGCATCATGGACTCCTGTGCCCCGTGGCTGCTGGGTAAGAGCCCGCACCCTCCCTGGGGCCCTGCCCCTGTGGTGAGGGGCGCGGGCTCCCTGGAGGAGGGGACAGCCCTGGAGCAGGAACATCTGGCCACAACAGCGTGGCAGGAGAGAAGCTCTCCAAAGCAGGCCTCCCAGTCTCCTCTGGGGGGTTTGAAGGCAGGCTACACCCAGGGTTGGATGTCTGTCCCTCACACTCACCTACTGGGTGCCTGGACTTTTGCCCCTGTCTTTGGGTTCTTTTATCCTGTGGGAAGGGTGTGGCTCTTGCCCCAGGGTCTGTATCCTCTTCCCTTGGCTGGAGCTCAGGTTGTGGTAAACGAAACAGCCCCCCCTTGGGGGCTGAGGAGACCGCTAGGTCCCTTTGGTCACAATTCTGGCTTTGCCCAAAGGACTTCTTCCCCCTAAATCTCTCCACCTGCCATCCTCCCTCACCTGCCATCTGGACCTGTGTTTGACAGCAGTACCAACTCGTGTTGGGGTTCTAAGATCTGGAATCCCAGGAGGGAGGGATAGGCGACCAAGTGCTGTGCTTGGGAAGGCATAGACAGGGTACCCGGGGGCTAGGCGCACAGGGACTTGGCTTGGAGAAGCCCTCTGCCAGCCTGGTGCCCCCCTTGCTGGTCTGCAGCCTCATCCCCCGGCCACCTTTCCACTGCCCCGGCCCCAGCCCTGGGACTCGCGTGACTGCGGTGTATGCAGTAAGGCTCTCTGCTCGTCCTTAATTCTGGCCTCTCTCTATCTTTGCCGTTTTCAGTTCAAGATGGCTTTCCCAGGCGCTTTTCTAAACCCGAATACCAACAATTCTTTTTAGGGATGCACAAAAAGTCGCTGGAGGCGGCAGCTGAGTCGGGGAGGAAGCCCGAGGCGGAGCGCCAGGCCCTGCCCAAGCTCGACAAGATGGAGCAGGAGGAGCGGGGCCCCGACCTCCCGGCCGCCATGTCCCAGGAGGAACTGAGGGAGAACAGCATCGCAGCGCTCCGAGCCAGAGCGCAGGAGCACAGCACCAAAGTGCTGGGGACTGTGTCCGGGCCCGACAGCCTGGCCCGGAACGCCGAGGAGCCGGAGGAGGAGGAGGCCACAGATGAGGACAGGCCAGCGGAGAAGCTGAGTCCACCGCAGCTCGAGGACATGGCTTAGGTCAAGGGTTCGCAGACACCGGAACCCCAGGACTCTGCTCTCCTTGAGGCCTGTGGTGTTGGGAGGTGTCCTCTGAGGCAGGGCCCAGGCCTGGCCTCTGCCACCCTCCCCTGGCTCCACAGGCTCTCCATGACCCTGGGTGACTTCAGGCACAACTCAGTTCTGGCCAAGGCACTGGGCCATGCTGAGACATCCCTGCCTAGTCTTAACCTGTCCAGCATCCTCCTCCTCATTCTAACGGCCCTGCCTCAGAAGCCTTCTTGCTGCCCCAAACCACCCCCTCAAGTTGCTTTCACTCAATCCCTTGGCAATCCTCACTATCCAAAGCCACCGCTCACTCTCGGTTCTCCTGCTCAAAAAGCCCTTCTCCCCAGCTCAGCACCCCTGTGGATTTTGCTCTGTCCAGACCCAAACCCGCTGCCACAAACACACTGCCTGCCACAGTGGTGACAGGGATGGAGGACCTGCACTCCAGCACCAGTGTCCTGTGCGCCCCGGCCCTCAGCAAAACTCTCCTCCCCTGCCTGTGCCTGCTACTGTGTGGATGTACTGTCCTGCGGGCCCAGGCACAGCCTCTGCATTTCTGGGGCCCAGATTCCAGATTCAATTTGGAGAACCCCAGCCTGGGCCTCTGGGCCACCCTCCATGTCATGCCCTCCATGGTCAGCCTCAGGAACCTGCCCTCTCCATACCCAGCCTGTCCCACTCCTCCCAGCACAGGTGCCAGCACCACAGGTGGGGTGTACAATACCTGGGGCGAGTCCAGGGCCTGTGCCCGGCAGCCAGGGGGCACCTCACAGGTGCTGCGGCTCATTGCACTGTCGGGCCTGGGTTCTGAAGCATCCTGAGCTCCGATACGCTGCCTGTGACCCTGACTTGCTGTGCAAGGCATCCTTTCCCTAGAGCTTCTCACAAATTACTGATTTGCACATGCCCTGCCTCGGAGCAACCCAGTCCAGCTGTAAAATGAACACGCAGGAAATCACTGATCTTGACTCAGCTGATCCAGGCCATTCCCAGGAGGCAAAGACCCGTGTGGGCCTGGGGCTATAAACAGGCAACAAGGGTTGGTCATAAGAAGGGTATAAGAAAAGGCCTGAAGGAGAGCAAGGGAGGAGCCGGTGTTAAGACCCAAACTAGGCTGCAGGCACACATACCTTCATGCCAGGTATATGCCCTGGTGCATGTCCACCAGCGTAAGACAGCAATCATTTTGGAAAAGGGGGTAGGGGCTTCTTCCTGTCTGCTGATGGGAGGATCTGTTGTACCAATGGCCTCTGCTGCTGCCCCTTCCGCCCCCAGGCCAGGCACATGTCCCCCTCACCCTCCCCAAGGCATTTTCCTCTACCTTCCCACACACCTTTGCAGGGCGTCCCTTGCAAGAGAAAGGCCCGAGGGACAGCAAGTTGGGGTTTTAATTCCATATCAGAAGTTGATTTCTTCTTCAGTCCATTCATGGACCATCCCCCATTCTTGTCTTTGTCTCCCATTGGTTTGAAGTATTAGACTGTAGCCCCTGGTGTGTAAATAATGTACATAGAGTGAGAAGAAAGAGACTTGATATTGAGGTGTTTGAAATATGGAAACTGTTTAACTTCTAGGTATTTGAAACCTGTGATTTCTGTGCCATTTTCTGTAAAGATACAAGTAAGAATAAAGTTGATGTAAAAACAGCAGGGGAGGGATCCAGGGGTCCTCTTAGGGTGAGCATGGTGTGTATTTGTGTGTTTGGGTAGCATAAAAAGTAAACCCCTGAATTCATTTTTAGGTCAAAATCACTAGATTCCTCTTTTACAATTACTCCAACTATACAAGCACAGCGGCCTGCCATTTTCCACTGAGCTGACATCACCTTTCAATGACTTACGTCACCGTCACATGGGACCCTTCATTGCAGGCACAACTGAAATATTCCAGCCATTGAACCACTAAGTTATTACCTCTGACTCCCTCCTGCACCCTACACAGCAGATTGCATTCACCTTTCCCTCTGGTCCTTGTTTATAAACAACCCAGTTACTTCACATCTCAAGTAAAGCCCACGGCCCACCTTGGCCCCCAAGAATACTGACTCCCTTTTGTGTACACATGTACACTCGAATCTCACCTACAACTCAAACACAACAGCAAATGGAAAAGGCAGAGGCATTTAGAACTGAGTCGGAGAAACCTGTGCTAAGTTCCTGGGGCAGAGAAGGAGACAGCACGAGGGACACGGCCTGAGATTGCTTACAGACAGCTGTATGCCACCGCCACCGACTTGATGTGATGGATGGAATCATAAGATTAGAGAGTGGAGGGAGCAACTAGATAGGTTAGAGTTGAGCTTTTGGTTCAAGAAATCTCATAAGATCCTTTCATATTGGCTCAGATGTGGAGCCTGTCATCAAATGAGAATGACAAGATCGGCAATCCCTGCATCCTGGACTGGGCCCAGGAGCAATCTTCCCGGGCCTGGAGCCTGGGGGGACACACGTGGGAGATCTCTGAATTCCATGTGGTGAAGGGAAAGACCCAAGAGCCTGGCTTCGAGTTCTGCCCACCCAGGGCTCCCCACTAGGCCTCCCCCGAGCATGTCAGGTCCCTGCAGGATTCACTGTCACCTCTTGGTCAAGGAGTGCCCTGCCCTTACCCTGCCACCCCCCTCCCCCAGCAAATGCACTGCCTCTCATTGTTCACACCGCCTCCTCCCTGAAGCCTCCTGCCCCTGCAGGCAGATTCTATCACCTTTATTCTCGCACAGCACTTGGGACATCCTCCATTATGGCATTTTATGCATTGTGTTGTAATATTTTATTTGCAAATGTAGCTTCCCCAGGAGAATGATTTCTTCAAGGATTGCGGTCATATCTTTATTTATCCCCAGGACTCATCAAGTAAGAGTTACTCCACTCATTGAATGAATGTTCTTTCGCTAAGTCATCCATTTATTTAATAATTTAAAAACATTATTGAGCATCTACTGTGTACCAGGTAGTGGGGCACAGCACTGGGATATAGTGGTGGGCACAGCAGTGCCATTTGGAGGGAAAGACAGAATTCAAGTAAGATAACACTGCAAATGTCCTAAAGCCTCAGGGCCTGGAGATGAGGGACCATGACAGCATATCCCTGAGACTTGGGTCAAGGTGTTTAACCTCTGAGCCTCTCCTGTGTTCTAAGTCAGAATAATGACATTCCCTCCTCCAGGCTCATCCTGTTCAAGGAAGAAGTAAGGACAATGGCAAAGGTGTCACAGGAACATGAGGAAAGGGTGGCCACACTATGAGCTGAGGGTGGTGGGGGCGGTGTCCTTGGCAGCTGCCCCACCCTGTGTTAGATCTTGGGGACAAGAAGGACACTCAGAGCTGCCAGAAATCCTCCTGGACACCACCCAGGGAACACAGCACTGGGGATACAGGCCCAGTGGGAGAGGCCCACAGCTCTGCAGAGGGACACACAAATGGGCCTGTGGGTAGTCAATGAGGGGAGAGGCTGTGACACCACAAAGCGAAGAAATTGGACAGGAGAGGAAGGGCCTGAGCAGCCAGGGCCCGAAGGCTTAGGACTGAGAGAAAAGCTGCTGGGTGCTGACTGCACTGCAGGAGGGCCTTCTGCCAGAGGATACTGGAGCGCCTGGGAGGGAGATTTTATTCCAGGCTCTGCAGGCCCAACAGGCTGCCGATAGATGGCTGCATGTACCAAGGAGAGCCAGAGAGTGATCAAAGGGCAGGAGGGGCTGATTTATGAGGGCTGCCTCGAGCTGAGCTGCGGAGCAGGCCTGGCAGGGACAGGAGAGGAGGCTGGCTCAGGCCGGAGAGTGGCAAGTAGCGGATGGGAGCTTCTGAGGCTCAGCCCTTCATCCTACAAGAAAGGGGCCATGATCTGAGGGCTTTCTGGGACCTGGTCCATCCAGCCTCCTGCACCCCCAGCTCACTGAGGGCCTTAGAGCCTTCCCCCTGCCCCCACCAGAGCTGCAATGCCTTCTCCCCTCAGATCCCCTCAGGGTGTGGCACCCTGCTTCATCTGTTGTAGCAAAGGTACCATCCTAACACAGGAGCTCATCCTAGGGGAAACTGGGTGAGGGGGTTACAAGAACTCTCTGTGATATCTATCGTTGAGATTGGAGGGGAGGCAGAGGGCAGGGTACAACCACTGAAGGAGTGGCACAGCAACTGAGGACAGGACAAACTGGTTAAAATCAAGATGGGAGAAGCTTTGACTTCCAGTAGACCTTGAGCCTCTTGGCACACCCACAGGCACCATGACGGTTCCTAGGCTGACCATAAAAGGTAAAAAAAGTGGGTGGGGCCCAATTCCTGGAAATCCCTGCCCCTTCCCTATCACAGTTGGAATAATCCTCCTACTTGTTAGCATAGGAAATAACCAAGCTCATAAAACCTAACAACTCCCCATCTCACGGTGGCTCTCTTGCTTTCTGAGAGGGCCTGAGCTCTATCTATGGAGCGTGTACCTACTTTTGCTTTAAACTAAACACCTCCACGTCTCTTGCTCTCTCCCTCTCGCCTCTGGGCCTGCCTTCTGCCCATGGAATGTGTATCTCCTAAGCCGCTATCCCTTCTACAGTGAGATGACCCCATTCTGGCTGTGGAGTGTGTATCTCTCAGAATAAACTTGCTTTCACTTTACTATGCCTTGCTCGTGAATTCTTTCCTGCACAAGGCAAGAACCTATTCTCTGGCAACATCCTCATTGTTTTTCTGTAAATCTAAAATTGTTGTAAAAATCATTTATTTAAAAAAAAATTACTAGTTTGTTTTCTAGAGGGAAAGCAACAGATGGTTCCTTTGGGTCAGAGCAAGCCTGGGAGCCCCAACGGGCTGCTCCTCTTCTTGACTTTAACCCAGGGCTCTGCTTACTGAGTGTCACAGTTCAAGGCTCCCCAGGATCACCCAGGCACCCAAGACTCACCCTCTGGGGAGCTAAGACTGGGTCAAGAGAGCTGGCCTCAACTGGTTCTATTTCCTGGTGTTTCCTTGCTGCCTGTTTCTCCTTTGGGTCTTCCGCTTGTCCCCTCCTCCTGCCTGGCTGCTCCTGACTCAGGCTGCAATACAGTCTCTGCTTAGTCACAGCCAAGTGGGCCCAGCATGGTCTGCTCCATTAATTCCCATTCAGACCAGTCCCTAGCAGTGCTAATTCTTCTGCTCCCAATGTGAACTTCAGGGAGTCTGTCACAAGAAGGGGCTGGGGAGGATGAGCTGGCCTTCCACTGAGCCACAGAATGGTACGAGCTGTCCTATGTGCCCATGGGGCTGATACTCATCTCCCAGCCTCACTTGGGGCTCAGAGGCTAGAGAAAAGGTGGTTGACCACAATGCCCATAGTGGGTTCAGAGGTGAGAGGGAAGAAGACAAAAAGTCCTCCTGTTTCCTCCACCCAGCCCCAGTGAGGGTAGACACATTAAGACAAATTCTGAGCTGAACAGCAACAGACACAGGAGAATACTCAGAAGACAAGTGCATCCTTTAACAAGAGAGCCTCTTTCTCCTCCTCCGTGTTTTTGTCTTCCACAATGCCCTCTGTTTAGGAGTCAATCCAGCTGTGGTTGCCATGCAGGAGGAGCAAGAGCCCAGGAAGGGAGGGGCGGAGCAGCACAAAAGGGGAACAGACTCAGGAGCCAGGCAGACGGCTGGGGATCTCCATCTGGGGACCACTCCTGTCTGACTGAAAGGACCCCTCACCCAGGCATGAAAATTCCTGATGAGAAGAGTGTAACCAAAAACTGGCAAGAACAGCAAAGTGGATCCTGAAGACCCGAGTTTAAGTGCAGATTCTACTACTTTTTTAACTTCCTCAAGTATCGGTACATTTACCTGCACAACCGCAGCCGTAATACCACACAGGGATGCTCAGAAGAGCCAAGGAGGTGATGAGATGGCTTGCACTAAACTCTAGTTCTTCTTGAGTCAGTTTTATTAATTTTTTACTGTTGTTCATTTTTAATCTTTCTTCTTTGCTGATACTTAAAATACTTAATATGCTTAAGTATACTTAGCACCTAAAGTACTTTACTTAAAATCATGTATTTCTAAATTTTACTACAGTCGAATTCCAAAAGCCTTCCATGTGGAGTTTAAGTTTATTTTTAGTCTTGCATATTTACTAAATCCCATTTTTTTCACTCCTGAATATTTTAAGTGTTAAAAAGTTTCCAACAATATGGGATTTTAGTGAGGGAAGAAATTATCCCTGTTATTGACTTCTAATTTTACTATATTGTGATCAGAGATCATTATTTTCATCCTCCTGCTCTTCTGATATATATTGAGACTTGGCTTAGACTATTAATATGTGGCTAATTTTTCTAAATATTCCAAATATGGTTAAACATAATGCATTTTCTCTAATTTTGGAGTGCAGTGTTCTATATAACTACCAGTTGAGCTGTTCAAGTATTTTGGCCCTTCTTTTATTTATGGAGACAGATGTGTTAAAAAAAAACTCCACCTACTCTGGTTGTAGACTTGCTGGTTTCTCCTTGAAATTCTCCCTTCTGCTTTTGCATTTGCTGACTCATGGTATTTTGTGAGTTAATATGACAAGCTTCTCTCTCTTTATTCTGTGAAAATACTTGGATTTCTTAACTGTTCTTCCCAGTCCTCACCTTGGGCCTGGTCTTCTGTCCCTGCCTGGGCGTTTAAAAT